CCGCGGTGGCAGCGCGTGCGCGGGGTGCTCTGCTTGCGCGGCTCGCGCGCCCAGGGCCCCCCCGACCGCGCGGGGGCATTCTCGTCCGCGCTGGTCTTTTCGGCGCGGAGAAGAATGGTGGCCGCGGGCCGAGGTTGATCATTGACAGACGTCGCCGCAATGCGCTCGAGAAGTCCATGGGAGGTCCTCCCGGGTATGCTTTTGTTTGCCGTGGAGCTCGCCAGTAGTCGATGCGCCTGCCTCGAGCGTCTCGCCGCCGTGCCCAGGGCCTCGCAATTCGCGGAGCTGTTCCTTCCGAAGGGCGGGTCCTTGTCGATCTCGGCGCGGTCCTCTTCTTCTACCTGCAGTTGCCGGGCGCCGGGGCCCAGGGCGCCATCCTTGGCTTTGACCTCGCGGCCGGCGAGCTGCTGGGGACTACCGCCGCCAGCGCGGTTATGGCGAGATCGCGCCCGCGCTGGCAGCTCCGGCCATGGGGGGCCAGAAGGCCCCGGCGGTGGCGCAAATCGCGCATTTGCGGTGCCTGCTATTCGCAGGGTATCTCCGCGAAGGGGGCGGCCCACTTATGGTCGGGCCCCCCAAGAGCCGAAGCTTGGAAAGCGTCTATTCGGACGACCGCGTCGTCATCGGCCTCTCCGATGGCCTTGGCGCCTCGGGCCCGATGCGACGAGCAGCTCTTCGACGGGTCCGGCAAGTGCATCGGCCCTGCGATCGCGTGGGCATCGCGACCTTGGACCAGCCCGACGCAGTTGTCTGGGGGAGTGATCTTCTCATCGCGTCTCGACATGAGCGCGGAGGTGGTGCAGGTCGAGCAGCTCAGGGCTCGGGGTCATCGCCGCGTGCGTCATCCTCGTTGGGGCCGCTTCGGTCGCTCTCATGCGGGGGCTGGTCGGATGCTGGGTGCGCCGCTTGATTTTTCGCGGAGCTGCCATGTGTCTCGTGGATCAGCTCTACGCATGGCTTCGCGTGACTGGCGTGGGCCCCTCGGCGTGGCGCCGGCTGCCGAATCCAGTGATCGACGAGCTGATGGGGCTTGTCCTCTTGTTCTGGTTGATCGAAAGCTCGTTCGACTCCTCGGCGGCGGAACAGGTCATCGACTCGTTCAGCCCCGCCCGTCGCCAGGATGGCGTCAGCCCCGCTTGACGTGGAGGGGGCAGTCAAGCATTGGGCGCGGCCACCTCGACCCACAGGCGTAGTGGGGGCTGACCCTTTAGATCCCCTGACTCCGACGAGGCTCTCGAGGTCCCAGGTGGTGGTGTCCTGGGCGGCCCCTGGTCCACTCGTGGATGGGGTCCGCGCAATTCACCAGACAGCTGTGCTATAGGTTCGCGGGCCGACGTCGTATCCATGCACAAGAAGCCGCCGCCCTGAGATCGCTGGCCGAACGTGCTGTCAAGGATCCAAGCGTGCATGGCGAGCGCATCCCAGTGCTCATGGCCACAGGTTGTACATGGCATTGCCGGCCGAGGACGATCGTCCAGCGGGGTCCTTAACGGGATCTGTGCCGTGTCTAACCCTTGCTTGCTCTTGGCAGGATGTTCCCTCCTGTCCTATATGATGCGGAGTTCCCGTAATCCTGCAGATGCCCAACAAGAGGCGTCGAGATGCGTGGAGCCACCTTCCGAGTTTGTGGAGTCGATTGCCGCCGTCGAGAAGCTTTGGGGCCGGGCCGCGGGCGCGCGCCGCCTGGTCTTCGGCCGCCGACCACCCGTCTTCTACGACGCCTTCAGCGGGCCGAAGGCACCCCTCAGAGCAGCCCTGGAGCGCCGCGGCTGGATCGTCATCAGCCGCGATGTGCAGCGCGGTTCTCTCGAGGACCTCGCAGGCCCCGGCGCGCTCGCCCGGGGGATCGAGCTCTTCGTCGGGGCCGGGCCGATGGCGGCCGTCCTGGGCGCCCCTTGCGGGGTCTCCCCGCGATTCGCGGGCCTGTGCCCGTGGCCCTTTCGAACTCGCTGGCGGCCGCGGGGCCCCGGGCGGCGCCCCGAGGAGGCCCTGGGCAACGAGTGCGTGGGGGCGGGGCTGGATCTCGTGAGTGCTCTCGACAGCGTGGGCGCCCTGCGGGCGTTGGGGCAGCCTCGGGGATATCGCCAGTGGGCGCTTCCAGACCTTCGCGACGCCCTCAGCGCGGGGCCGCTGTATGAGCGCGCCATGGTTTGGTGCGTGTGGGGCAGGGGCTGGTGCAAGACCACCGCCTGGAAGCGGCGGTGGCCGTCCCTGCCCCTGCTGGGTAGGCGATGCGATCGCGGCCGCCGCCGCCTCGTCCTGGAGGGCGGCATCCTGTGCGAGGACGGCATCTGGCGTCTCGCGGAGGTGGCGGCAGAGTGTTCCATCGAGATGTGCGATGCGGTGTCCGAGCAGCTCGACGTGCTGCCAGTCGCCGCGCTGCTGATGCTCCTGGGGTCTTCTGCAGCTGGCTCGGATTTGCATGGGGGGGCCCGCCCGCGCGCCTCGGCGCCGTCTCGCGGCGCGCGGCTGCGCGGGCCAGGCCGGGCCTTCGCGCGGCAGTCGAGCCGGTCACTGCCCGTCAGTATATCGTCATGCTCGACAAATGGACCCTGTGGCTCCAGAGTCGAGGGCCGCCCTGCCCCGACGTCGTCGCGCGGGGCATCGAGCTTTTTGCCGCTTCCTTCGTTGGCTACGCTCAGTGCCTCTATGATGCGAAGGCGCCATGCTTTTTGGGGTCCGAAGCCCCTGTTGGCGTCCAGTTCCGCCGGCCCCAGACCCGCGGCCGGCCGCGCCCTGCTTGGGCCGTGGTGGCCCGCTGGCGCACTCTCGAGCCGGGCGGGGTGCGCGTGCTCATGCCGGTCGAGGTGCTCTTGGCCCTGGCCGTGGCTGCCGAGGCGCGGGGGCGGGGCAGGGCGGCGGCGTGCCTGCTCCTCGCCTTCCATTGTCTGTTGCGGCCCAGCGAGGTCGCAAATGTCCGCGGGCAGCATTTCATTCTGCCTGGGGACCTGGGGGGCGATATCAACGCGGTCGTGCTCGTGCTGCTCTCCGCTAGGACATCGGATCGAGGGCCATAGTTCCGCGGCGTCCTGATCGACGATCCTGCGCGGCCGAACTCGATGGGGCGCGTCTTCGGGCCCCTGTCCCCAGTGTCAGCGTTGTGCCCAGGGCAACTGCGTAGGTTAACCCAGAATGTTATCTACTTCAAGAGCCTCGTCGGCATCGGCGACTTGCTGCGCGGCCTTGGGTCGCTGCGTGGTGGCTGGGCCATCCATCGATTCCGCTCGCTTCAGTGCCTGGGGCTGCTGCGATGCCGTGGGAGCTGGGGGAAATCAAATCAATGCGTCGCCTTCTCTGGATGGACGCGGCCGCCCTCCTTCGCCCACGTAGCGTCCGACAGAAGTAATTGTGTCCAGCAGCTTGCTCAACTCGCTCCAGGCGCGCGGCGCGGTGGGTGAGTGTGTCACTGACGCGCCCGAGGAGCCATACGCATATCAAATGCGTGGTAATTGCGGCAATGTTGGGCCAGGTTGGGAGCTCGCTGTCTTTGGGCCTCTTTGAGACGGCAGAGACAGCGCCGCTGCGCCCCGACGCCCCTGGCCACCCTTTGGCCGTCTTTTCCTAGCGAGCTTCACGCGTGGGGTCCTTTGGAAAACACACGTCGGAGATCGCGCGAGCACGGCCGTTATGATTGTAGGAGGAAGTGAACAATAGCTTTCGCGCCCTTCCCCCACTCCACCGTCGCGAACAGCTCATGAACGGTTGAGAGCTCTCTGTCTTCGGGGCTCAGTGAGGCCGCGCGGCAGAGACATCGCCGATGCGCCCCGACGCCCCGTGGCCGACCCTTGGCCATCCTTTTCTTTGCAAACTTCACACGTGGGGCGCTTTGGATTACGGACGTCGGATATCACGATGATTATGATCATGATGATGCTGATGAGGACGGTGATGATGCTGGTGGTGCTACTGTTGATGGCGATGCTGCTGCTGATGATGGGGATGATGTCGGTGATTCTGGCGATGGTGCAAGCGGTGGTGGTGGGGATGACGATGAAGGTGATGATGGCGATGGTGGCGGTGATGATGAAGATTCTGATGATGGTGATGATGGTGATGATGATGTCGGCGTTGGTGATGATGGTGATGTTTGTAAATGTGATCAAGAGGATGTGGGGAAATATGTTGATTGTGATGATGATGCGGCTGCTGCCCCTGACTGTGATGATGATGACGATGATGATGACGATCGTGATGATGGTGGTGCTGGCAATGATGATGACCGTGATGATGGCGCTAATAACGGTGATGGTGATGGGGATGATGTGGGTGATGATGGTGATGATGAGGCTGATGATGATGGTGATGGTGGTGGTGAGGGTAGTGATGATGGTGATGCTGGTGATGGTGATGGTGATGATGCTGTGGAGGAGGAGGACGAAGAGGAGGAGGAGGAACAGGAGGGAGGGGAGGACGCGAATCGGTGGGGGGGGCGCCTATGGGACCCTTTCGGCCACAACGGAGCCGCGATGTACACACCGTTTGTTTCCAACTTCGCCAGGGGAGGTAAGAAGTTATGGTCCGAATCGTGTATTGTTTTGCGAACCTGCTCCAGCCATCGATGGGGCCAGGAACATTGAGAGCGCAAGCAGAAACGAATGATATTAGGAACCAGCGATGCGTTAAGTATCTTCGACTGCGGGGAGCTCCCTGGTTCACGGATGCTGTACCTTCTGGGATGGAGACTGGCTTTTCTGTCTGGATACGACATGCCCCGCACAAAGCTATTCAGGCGCTGAAGGCGAATGCGAGCTGCGTTGTTCGCCATCCACTACGCTTAACAAGTTGCGTACGTAGTGGGTTTTCCTTTCATTATGTTTCTTCGAGACCTGGCACTCCCAGCGAACATCTGTCGGTGGCAGGCGCAAGCTTCAGCATGTGCGGCAGCAGTACGACAGGACCCCCCGCGCTGAAGAGGTGGGTGAGCTTGGCCCACTGGCCACTGGTCAACTTCAAGGACGCGAAGGGGGACTGTACTGCGATTGTCCCGTCCGCTCCCGCAGGACTACACGCGGCGTCAAGTTGTGCCGGAAGACCTGCAGATTCAGCAAAACGTGGCGAAGGCTCCGGCCCAGCCGTGGCGCCATAGTCGCCATGAGGCTGCGAGGAAGGCGGTAGTAGAGGGATGGGGGCTAGAAGTAGGATGGGATGCGGCTATCCGGCTAGAAGAGAGGGAGAGAGAGGTTTTGTGCCAGAAGCGGCAAACAAAGCTGCCCACATACACCCCGGGGGGTGGGCAAGGCCACCCAGATGATAATCAACCTGACTTGGAGGTTGGGTGGTGAGATCGAAGTGAAACGTGAAGTGCCCCAACCTGGAAATCGTTTCAGTTCGTGCGTGACGTGCGTGCGTGGGATGCGATGCTGCGCGCGTTCCTGTCCTAGTAGGGTCGAAGTCAGACCACCATGTTGCGCCTTAGGTCCCTTTCTTGTCCCTGGGTTTCCCATGTTTTTCCGAAAGAAGATACGGTCCCGATGATTATCTGGATGACAGTGGCCCCCCGTTGCGCCCAGGTTGTCCCGACGGTTGTCCCAGTGGTTTTTCCGATGGTTGTGCCGGTAGTTGTCCCGATAGTTGTGCCGATGGTTGTCCCGATGGTTTTCCCCATGGTTGTCTCCATGTGTGTCTCGATGATTGCCCTGATGGTCGTCCCGACTGTTATCCCGATTGTTGTCCCGATGGGTGTCCCGATGTTGTCCCCATGGTTGTCCCGATGGTCGTCCCGATGGTTGCCTGTATCTGCGTCGCAGGAGATTGCCGAGTTCTCTTACGTATTTCGCCGTAACACCATTTTTCGGTAAGGGCACACCATGGTGTTCCCTACGCGCGGTGCCTCTCGAACGGCTGCCGTGCACGGCTTCTCGTGCTGACCCCTACGACCGGGTACCGCTGCTGCCACTGGTTGCTTGTATTGTATGACTCAATAAAAGGTTGGACACTGTGTGAGGACCCACTCTAATGTTGAAACTTCAGCGTGAAATGCGGACGTGACTCCGCGCAACACTATCCCAGCAAAGAAAAGGGGTTCGTAGGACCCGTTCGGCGAACGCAAGAAAGCTGCACATCTAACCCTCCCAGATGATCGTCGTGATTTCTCTTGCGCAAGTCTCCACCGACACACAATCGTACATCGCCACTTCGTGCTGCCCTGAGTGCTTCTTGGTTGATCCATGACCAGTCCGTTCCTGTGTCCATCGCCGCATTGACCAAATGGCTTAAGTCCGGCATGGTTGCAGCTGGACCTGTTTCTGGATTCGCGATCACCCTTGCAGCTCTCCTCAGGGCAGCAGTGCACTCCGCAAGCTGGCTCGGCGGCCGCGATTGCATCGGCAGCCTTGGGGCCTCCCCGCACCAGCACCACCGTTAACTACCCGCGTCGCCACCCGCCAGACTACCTTGACCGTGTAGGCGTGCGCACCGTGCGCGCCCTGCACCTGCCCGGCCCTGGAACCGGAGGCCTTCCCCGTCCTGGGCGAGGGCGCGGGGACCAGGCTGGAGCTGCCCGCGTTCGTCCTCTTGGCGACGGTGTGGCTGCTCGTGGCTGGTGTGACGGCTGGGGTCTGGCAGTGCTGTGCCAACATGGCGAGCGAGTTTCGGAGAAGGCAGCCGCTGGGTGAGGCGCGGTTCCAGATCAAGTGATGATTCGCCTCGGTCGACAGACGCGTTTTGAGACGGTTATCGAGCGGGCGCCGGGTACACGGGGGCTTGTGACTTTCGAGGACGACCCAGGCTAGTTCCACGAACGCTTCTTCCTGGTGGCCCGTTGGGGCCCCAGATTCTGACGGCTAGGTGACCTACTCGCCGGGAGGTGATCTGTACGTGGAGAAGCTGAGCGACTACACCTAGAGAGGGCGGTCTTGACTGCTCGTAAACGTTACTCCCGTGGTGCTTCGCAGGTGGTGGCCTTCAATCGGCCCATGGAGTCGGCCGAGATGGTTGACCTCATCAAGCGCGGCCGTGGCGAAGCGGTGAACCTCACCAGCAGCGACGGCCCAGACTCCAGCGTCGAGGTTTTGGTTGACTGGCGCAGTGGGCGGCTGGCGGTGCTGGCCTTCTCGTCGGTGCACGCGCCGAAGCTGCGGCTGCGTGGCCAGCAGCCCCTGCTGCCCGTGGCAGTTGCCGGCTTGGGACCGCCCGACTCTGGCCCGTTGGCTGTCGTCGCAGGGGGTCCGGTGACGACGCCGCGGAGCCAGCCGCCCTGGAGGATGCCGCTGCGGACGGCGTCGCCTTCGGTTGCACTGACACGCGCGAGGGCGAGCCGGAGGCGGGCTTCGCGTGGCTGAGCAGCGACCTGGCGCAGATCGACGGGGAGTTTTCTTTCGGCACAGAGGTGAACCCTAGGCGGAGGCAGCGGGCGTCTGGACCGCTTCGGCGTGGTGTCGTCTCGCCTGGGCCACCACCGCCCCGTGGAGCTGGTCGAGCTGTCGCACTTGGACGCGTGGCACGAGGTCAAGCTGCGCGGCGCCGATCGCGGTCGGCCTGGGGGCTCTGGTCTCGCGGTGCGCCTCTTGGGAGATGCGCCCCGTGGCCCGGCGCTGCCTTTCGCCGCCGCGCTCGCTGTTTGGGATGGTTGGGGGCTCCATTGGCGGCCGCCCCTCTTCCCAAGGGGGCGACGACCTCCGCGCGTGCAGGATCGACTGCGATGATGCAGGGGTTCGGTGTAAGGAGTGGCGCAAATTGTTGCGTGGGGCGGCCCAGGAGAACGTCCATGGTGCGGGCCTCAACGGCCCCCCCGTGTGGGGAAGTTCCACGTGCACGGGGGCGACCCCAAGGCTTGGTTCCAGGAGTGGGCCCGCGACGTGGGCATCGGCAGGAAGGGCAGGGCCTGGCATGAGGTGGAGTGCCTCATCGAGTGTTCGTGGCAGGCGGGAAGTTTCGACCAGTTGGACGTTTGGGCCATCGCGGCCTTGGAGGTGGTCTCTTGGGGGCTGCTGCAGCATGTGGAGACCTACGCGAAAGGTGCTGACAATCCCAATTGGCGGGAGGCAGAGTTCTGACGCCCTCGCCAGGCGAATGACGAGGCGGAGCTCGAGAGCCTGTGTGCCAAGGCTCGTCATCTCGGCGCGGGGCCTGGCGCCGACGCGGCGGTCGCGACGACCCTGGCCGGCGGCCTGCCGCCCTAGGGCGACAGCGTTGAAGACGGCGGAACAGGTAGGTGCGGAGGCAAGGGCGGCTGCGGCCGAGGGCGCGGCCGTCGACGCGATGCCGGATCGCGAGGTTGACGTTGGCCCGCTCGCCACCTGCAGACCAGAGGACAAGCGTGGGGCTTGCGCCGCCCACTTCCTCCCGCCGACCAGCGACGTGGTCGACGTGGGCCGCCCCGCTGACGTCGCAGGCGGCCAGGGGGGGCGGTTGCGTCGGGATTTCGACGCGGCCGTCAGGGCGCTGAATTGGATGCGTGGGTCGGCGCGTCGGCCACGCGCGAGGGGGATCTCGCCGGCCATCGAGAATCATATTTTTGCCCTACAGTCCGATGTGCGGCAGCCCGTGGTGAAGGCGCCCTTCCGCTGGCACGGCGTTGGCAGCGCCGTCGGAGAAGTGAAGCGTGGCCAGGCTTTTGAAGGGGCGCTTCGGGTACATGCCGGCGCCTTCATGCAGAATCGGGTCCTGTGAGTGTTCGAGGGTATCGTTCCCGGGCGACGTGCACAGTGCCCCGTCGCATTTTTTATGTTACCTCTGGGTACACAGTTCGAGAATTTCGAGAAGCTTGTGTTCTGGCCTTCGGGCGAGTTGAAATTAATGAAGCAGTTTGAAGGAGTGCTGGGCTGCCCAGCGTTGCCGCGTAGTTCGCGTGCTTACGGCCGCCTGGTGCGGCAGGTTGCGGGCGTCGCCCTGTCGGCTTTCGCCCTGCGCCCCGTTTGAGTGCTGAGGGTCTTTTCGCCACTAAGAAGGACGACGGGCACAGGCTCATCGTCGATCGCCTCCGCGCGAACCAGCTGTTCCACTGGCCCCCGGACGTGAACCTCCTGAGCGGCGAGGGCCCGTGGATCACCGAGGTGGGCGATCCTGGGGTTCTCTCGACGAGCTTGCCCGTCCACCTCGGGGTCGGCGACGTCGCCGACTGCGTCCGCAGGATGAGGTTGGGCCCGTGGCGGTGACATCTGCCGCTGGCGCTGGCGTCCGCGAGATCGACGGCGAGGTGGTCGGGCCGGACGTGGAAATCTGGCCCATGTGCGCCAGTCCCCCCGATGGGCTTTGCCTGGTACCAGTGCTTCGCTCAGGTGGTGAATGTCGAGCGTCTGGGCCGCCGTCCCTCTCTTCGGGGCAGCTGGGGGCTCTCCGACCGGGGGCCTTCCCTGGTGCTGTGGGGCGGGGACTTGGAGGAGGCTGGTGTTTTCGTGTGCGTCGACAGTGTTGGGTTGCTGCCCCTCGACGGCGACCTGGCCTGTGGGGCGGGGCTCGCCGAGATTTTGAAAGGGGTGGTTTTCGTTTTCGCGAGGTGGTGGTCCACGAGCACGGTGGATCCATTCTCGTTCGGCATCTCGATGGCGGCGCTCGGTCGGCCCGCCCCAGCGACGAGCGCCTCGGTCTGGTCCGACAGGTGGCCTCGTGGGGCGAGAGCTCCCGTGCCTCCTCCACGCCGTGTGCCGCTTCGTGCGGGAGTTCAGTTGCATGTGCCAGCTGCTCTGGGACTCGGCCACTCAGGAGCTCGCCTCGCTGGTTGGCGTCATGGTCTTCGCGGAGGCCGACTGGGTCCACCCTTGGGCGATCGCCGTTTACGCTGGCGACGCGAGTCTCTTCGCCTTCGGCGTGGATCAGGCTCAGTGGGACTTCGAGTCCGCGGCGGCGTTCGGGTGCGCGACGGAATGTGGCTCTGTCGCCTCGGGCCGGGGGGCGTCCGCTCACGGGGCGTCCGCTCACGGGGCTTCGTGGTGGATTCCGAGACGGGCGCGGCGTCGCGCGACTTCCCTGGCACCCCCACCAGGCTTGACAGGGGGGATCGCTTGATCGCGTCGGGCCGCTGGGTTCGCAGCGGGGATTCCGATGAGATGCCGGGTCTCTGCCAGCGAAGGGTCATTGGCATGCTATGCTCGCTGTCCACTGGCGTTTTCACCTGGGGGGA